AATCTATTAAAGAAAAGATTTGTATGAATATAATTATTTTAATATTTATAATTAGTCCAATGAGAGATATATGTAGTTTTTTTTTTTTTTTTTTTTTAAATATTAAGTTTTGTCACCTTTTGAACACATTTATTTACTATGAAAATGACTATAAATAGATTAAAAATAGAGATTCAACGAATAATATTAATATTTCATAATAATTTTAATATAATAAATATTAAATTTTCTCATGAGAATAATATTTCTAACTAGAAAATCAAAAATCTTTATAAATAAAAGAGTTCATTTTGATTTTAATAACCATATATCAATGTCAGACATGATTGACAAATTTGAAGATCTCAAGTTAGAGAACAAGTCTGAGAAAAGAAAATAGCTCAAATTTTTTTTCGAATTTAATTTCTTGAATTATTTATCATTAATGATGTCGTTTCAATAAAGTTTTAATAATTCTGCAAAAAAAAAAGGTTTTCAAATAACATTTTCTTTGTTGTTCTTTAGAGAATTATTTCAAATGTTAAATAATTTTTGAATTCTGATTCTATGTATAAGATAGATCTTAATGAGATATGAAAAGCGTCAAAAAGATTGATTGTTCTTAAATTTTCTTTTCTTAGGTTTTAGCTATTTTGTTGCAAATTTTAGATAATGACACCGATTGTACTAACAAATTAAATTTTATCTTAAAAGAATATTTTCTTTACAAGATATTATATTTTTAAAAACTCTGAGATTGTCACAACTTTCTCGGTATATGAATGTTTTTTTTATGAATGAAATTTTCAAGACATTCTAATCATAAGTAGATCTATTTGTGAACCAAAATTTAGATCAAAATATCATTATTCGATTTATTAGTACATGTAGTATTATAGTCTATAGAGATATTGTATTATAGAGAAGACTACTTTAATATATAAATTTGTTCTATGATTAGATTTTCATTACAATTAAATTTTATTCTGAATTATATTTTGAATAATTACTTTTTTTCTTGTCATTTTAGTAAAAAAAATCATAATGAAAAAAAAAATAAAACTTCTATTATAAATATCTACAATATGTATATAGTTACATAATGATAAAAGAATAATCTAATTAATATGATTTATTTAGACATTCATTTAGAATGAATTATCAATGCAAAAATATGAGGTGTTTTTTTTTCTTTTAATGTACAGAAGAATAAAATAATTTTCCTAACTATTTTTATTAATATCTATATATATAATAAAAATTGATAAATTATATATAACTTACTTTAATATTATTACTATCTGTTAAAATCATTGTTAAACGATCAATTCCTATACCCCAACCTCCAGTTGGAGGTAAACCATATTCAAGTGCTTTACAATAATTTTCATCAATTGTTTGAGCTTCTTCATCACCAGCTGATTTATTCTTTCAAAAAAATAAAAATAAAAGTTATTTTATTATTTCTCAATATTAATTATTAAAATATAAAATATAAAAAATAAAAATAAAAATAATATTTACTTTTGCTTGTAATTCAAACATTTCACGTTGTACAATTGGATCATTCAATTCAGTATATGCATTACATAATTCTTTATAACAAACAAATAATTCAAAACGTTCTGTTAAACCAGGTATAGAACGATGACTAAAGTAAAAGAAAAAATAATAAAATATTAATGAAATGGAAATAATAATATTTAGAAAAAAAAATAAAAAAATAAAAGAAATTTTTCTTACTATTTTGCCAATGGACTCATGATTTGCGGATGATCACAAATAAATGTTGGATTAAGACAATGTGGTTCAATAAAATGACCAACAAGCTATAATTAAATTTAAAAAAAAAAATAAATATTTTATTAATTTATAAAAAAGACTAAAAAATTTTTTTATTTTTTTGATCAACTTACACAAATCAAAACTCAAATTGACTAGATTAACAAATTTTTATTTTTAAGATTTGACTTTATTATAAATTCAATAGAAATAGAAAGTTAATTTTTGTTGATGTTAAAGAAAAAAAAATGCTTTGAAAAAATAAAGTTTTTTTTTTTGATTATGTGAATTTTATTTGTAATATTCTAAAGGATAAACAAATATGATGAAAACAAAAAAGAAGAGAAAGAAAAATAGTGAACAATAGATTAATAACAATTAAGAACTGAGTATTCATATTGAAATTATATTAGAAAGAGGAGAAACTGAATTTGTTTAATTATTTTCAGAAAATATTAACCATATTCATAATAAAGATTTATATTTGTTTTTTGTTTTTTTTGTCTAAATAATTCTAGTGGAGTTTGCAAGGCAAAAAGAAAAGAAATAATACATTGGTGAAGATTAGTTTGCTGCATTTCAACCATTTTAGTTTTGTGCATGAATATGTGTGAAATACTTGACAGATCTTATTTGGAGATGTCGATCGGTTGTTTCTATGTCTTAGCGCATATTCAAAAATTTTATTACTAATTCTAGTGACTTTTATGTTTCAGAAACGGTAATATGAACTTAGACTGTTTTCGTAAGATATTTCAATCAATATAGAAAACTATTTAATATTAGTCTCACTAAAAAGTAGAAAAGATTTTGATATGTACAACTAAAATCATATAATTTTTAATAGTTTTTTTTTTGATATATTCTATGAACTATATTCTTTTAGTTAAAAATTAAAGTAATTCTAAAGATATTATATATATTTAGAAGGAAATAATTTTAATATTTAGTTGAATATGAAATCATAGTCTGTTGATTTATGTTCAATTTAAGATATTGTATTGAATAATAGATTTCTTTTATTATTATTATTCATTCTACTTTTTCTACCGAGTTAAAAAAGATTTCGAAAAAAAATAATAATAATAATAATATGATTAATATTTATAATAAAAAAATTTATTGATTTCATTTTTACTATGTTATAATTACTTTATCAATTAATCTATCTGTTGTTCTTGGATTAGTACATTCAACATGATGTTTTTTACAAAGATTATCAAAAAATTTGTTTGTTTCTATAAAAGAAATAAGAAAAATATTTTTATTAAAAA